GTGTCTGGACCTTCCAGGTCCCTGCCCCAGCTGTGAAGAAAAGGAGGGGACTAAAGATACAGAGTCATGGGCCATGAGCATAGCTGCAAGGCCTGGAGTCTGTGACGCACTCTGGCCAGCTCCCCGCCCAGGCAGTCGTGACACCATTCTATGCCCCCAGCTTTTCTCTGTGTCAGCCTGCCCCTGGAAGGAGATCTTGCCTCTCAGGGGCAGAGCTGAGAGTCATTTGTCACAAGAAGTAGGTAACTGCCCACGATGGTGATGCTTTCTCTGGTGTGCCACTTCACCTCAGACAGACCCAGCCAGGATCCAGCCTGAACGAGATGGAGGTGAGACCTTCTGCCCAGAAGATAATAAAACCTGCTCCCTGTTCTTGCTAAGATTACTATAAAAGGAGCAAAAAAGACACAGTGTGTTTCCTCTGGAGACTAAAGAACTGATGACAAAATGAGATTCATCCTTCTCTCTAGTTAAGTCCTTATTCCCGAGAGTTTCCATCAGTCTTGATTCATTTCCTCCTTTGTGAATTCTGCCAGTATGGATGGATCGAGTGCCTCTTCTGGGCAGAGCCAGGCAGATACAACAGATGAGACCCCTGCCTACACAGACCCCAAATCCAGGGGGCACAAAGAGGTTGAGAAGTCCTGTTTTGCTAAAAGTGACAGAAAATTATCTTAAACTGGCTGTAGCCTAGAAAAGGAGGCAAGGGTGGGCTGTCGTCAGCCCGCCTGGTTCCCGGTGTTCAAACAGGTGTCTTTCCCTCTCGTGGGCACTGGGCAAGCCTGCCTTCCCTGAGTGGCCCTAGAGGTGGCCACTGGCAATTGCAGTCCACTGACCTGTTTGCTCTGCATCGAAGAGAAAAGTGTGTGGCAGTATGTGGCCGTCTGTCATATCAAGCCCCAGAATGCAAAGCAACCATCAAAAGTACCCCCTGACTCTGTCTTAGACCAGCTTCAGAGCCCAAATTGGTGTGGTGGCCCAGGTGGAACAGCTGGGAGGACATTCCCCAGAAGAGAGAAGGCACACTGGACAGGCAAAACCAAGAGCTGCCCCCTGCAGGGACATTACACCTGGGGCATAACCCCATGGATGGCTGATACTGCACTCCTGGTAAAAGCAATAAAGCAAGGTGCTGCGTGTAGGTATAAAAGGGTGAGAAGCAGCTCAGGTGGTGGCAGGTAGGGGGACCTGAAGGGTGAGCAGCCAGGCATAGTGGGGGGCAGGGAGCACTCCAGGCCCAGGCAGGAGCTTGTGGGAAGGCCCAGCCCTCAGGCCGAGGGGTGTGGTGAGCAGGAAGTGAGTGCAGTGAGATGGGGGGATGCACCCAGCCTCCACAAGCAACCCCCTGGGGCATCCTGACTGCTTGTGTACCCTGCATTCTGGGTGGCCAGAGGGCACTCTGAAGAGTTGACTGTGACCTGCGTGAGCGTGCTCCCAGGGATGCTGTGGCCGGCAGCAAGTTGAGCCACACAGGTGTCTGTCTCTCTGAAGTCAGCGCATCACTCCCTGGGCAGGGAGGCCACGGGGCAAACCCACCACCCCAAGCCTCCATACGGTCCCAGGAATCTGAGGGCATTCCAGATGTCTCAGACCTCTCAACAGATCAAGGTCACCCTGGTCCCTCAGGAACCTTCAGGTTCATGGCCAGGATGGTCAGGGCTCAAGAAACCAGAGGTCACAGAAAAGAGAAGAATTTGGAAGTTGATCCCCCAGCTGCATAAAGTTAGGTGTCCCTTGCCAGGCAGGGGTGGGGATGCAGCCTTGTTAGCTAATTCGAGTTTAATATGGAGTTGAAGGATCTGGACACTGGCCTGGTCAACTGCCTGGGAGACATTCAAAAATAGAGTAGGGTAAGGTGTCCCACCTGCACAGTGCTTCTCCGCCACTCGAAAGGCAGAGGGCAGCCAGCAGCGACCCAGGCAACATCCGCCAGACAAAAGCATCACTTCCACATCAATCACTTTGTATAAAGGAAGAGTTATTGTTATGGGATGCTGGCGCCTGATCAATATCTCCTGCTTTGAAAATAAACTTCTTGGCTTGGCCTTGACATTAATCTACCATCAGGAGCCCATTATCTTGAGACCAATGTTCTGTTCTATTGACTGGCACAGGTTTTTTTTCTCCCCCAAGATCAGAATATAATTGCATTTCTCTAGGCAGCACTTCTATTAATTGCAGCCCTGTGTGTTATCCCCTCTCGGGAAGCCAGGGACACAGTACATATCTGGGCGGGGGATAGAGACAGCAGGAAGTAATGAGGGACCAAGGACTCTCAGGTGCCAGGTGCAAGAGGCCCTTGTAGAGCCCCTGATTTAATTAAGATGTGAAGCCCAGTCCCAGAACCCCCATCAAGCAATGCCCACTGAAAAGGGCTCTTTTGCACAGAAGCAGGCTTATAGAAGTCCCCACTCCTACCCTTTATTAATATATAATAGCAAGATTAATACTAATGCCCCCCAAATCCAGTGCATCCCACCATGCCCACAGCCCTGCTCAGCTAAAGACAAGCTGCCCTGTATCTGGATTACTCAAGAGCTCCCCAGGTTTTCTCGCCCCCAGACCCACGCCCAGGCACAGGCCATTCCCCACTCCACAGGCAGCGTCCGCTTTGTGAGACACAGTTGGCTTATGTCATCTCCTTCACTGAAGACTTCTGTGACAAGTCCTTGTTCTTCCCTATGAGACAACCCCCCCACCCCGGCCAGGCTCCTCTTTGCTTCCTCAGCTCCAAATTCCAGCAGTGACTTGGCCAAGCCTGGCCCTTCCCTGGGGCCATCACAGGAGCTCTTATTCTCACACTGTCACTCTACCTTCTTGTCATTTCAGTCCCACCTCAAATATCCCCTCCCAAGTGAGGCTTTCCCTGCCTGACGAGGGTGAAGCAGCATCACGTACATCCACACAGATCTATCCGATGGCCTTGCTTTGCCTCCCTTATAGCACACGGCCCTCTGAAAGCATCTCCCTATGTTAGTAACCTAGAGCCACTGGAAAAAATTCCCAAATGTGCTGTATTTTGCCACATATAATGTGTACTTTATTGCCCAAACTTCTGAGAGAAAAGTAAGGATGTGCCTTATACACAGCTTAGGAGCAGGGGAGCCCAGTGGGCCTCTCTGGAGCACTGTGCTTCTTGCCTGGACCTGCTGAGTGCACAGGGTCCAGTCTGGGTGGATCCAGGTCCCAGTGGGAGTGGCCCACAGAAACTTCAAACAAGTACAGCAAAAAGGGGAGAGCGACAGGGGCAGAGCTAGCAAGGTGGGGTGCAGGTCAGCTGCACAGAGGGGACTAGTAGCCCTGTGCAGGCCCCAGGGCCCCATGTATTGGCTGAGTGGCCTGAGAAGCTCTCGCCCATGGGACACACCCCAGCTGTGTCTCCCCTAGTCAAGAGACAGCCATTTTCTTGAGGGATATTTCCTGAAAGTTTGGGCCAAAAATGAGGGTTCACATTATACATGGGTGTATGTTTTACATGGGAGGCCTCAGCTCTCACCATGTGGACCTCTCCATAGCACTGCTTGACTGTCTTCAAACATGGCAGCTGCTCCTCCAAAGCAAGTGGTCCCAGAGAGAAAGTGGAAGCCAGAGTGTCTTCATGACTACCATTTCCGCAGTATCCTATTGGTTACGCATGTCAGTCCTCACATGACTCGGCAACAACAAAGGGACACAAACTCTAGGAGGTGAGAATCTCAGGAGGCATCTTGGAATTAACCACACCCCCCTTCCCTGAGAGCAGCAGCCTGGCTGACTCATGCAGAGATCTATGTCCCCAGCTCAATGTTTTGCACATAGCTGGTTCTCATAAGCATCATCAAGTATGTGAATTAATTTGTGTCTAACACAACTACGACTGTGTGCCAAGTCTTGTGTGAAAACCTTCCCATTCAGTATCTCATACCCTAGTCTCACCTCATCGAATACTTTACAGGAAACTGAGTCTCAGAGAAATGAAGTACCTTGATCAAAGTTGTAGGCTGGTATGTGACTGAGCCAGGATTTGAACCAAGGTGTGCCAAGGGGGAAGGAGGATCTGTTTAGGCTAGGTGCCTCAGCAAGCATGAATCAGTGTCAGTTATAATTGTTAATAATTCGTCGATTATGGTTACACTAGTTTACAGTCAAACTCAGGAACTCTTGTGATGCCAGATAATCCTCCCTGGGAGGGGGACATGGGGATAACCATCGGCTCCCACAGGACAGTCTCACCCAGCTGCTCAGCTTGGCAAGCCAGACTGCAGAGAAAGGTCAGGAAGGGACTGGAAGAACTTCTCTGGGGCACCCAGCAAGGGGCTTAAAGATAGAGGCAGAAACTCCAAACTGGAATGCCAGAGGCAGGCAATACACAGAGCCTGTGTACCACCCTGTCCTCTAATACTTGTGGCCGATGTCACCATGCAATCCTCGTCGTCTTTCCCACCAGGCCCCTAATGCCACTTCAGAATCCTTCTCACCCAGCACTCCAAACAGCCATAGGTTTAGAGCTCAGACTCTGGAGGTAGCTAAAACGGGGCTTAAATTCTGGCTCTACCATGTACTAACTCCGACCTTAGACAGGTTCCTTAGCTTCTCCGAGGCTCTATCTCAGCGTCTATAAAATGTAGTAGCTGGGGTGGCACCTGTGGCTCAAAGGAGTAAGGCGCTGGCCCCATATGCTGCAGGTGGTGGGTTCAAACCCAGCCCCAGCCAAAAAAAAAAAAAAAAAAAAGTAGTAGCTATGCTACTACGTACTTTACAGGTTTTCCAATGAGGCCACAGTACAGTTGTGCTTGTGACATCGTGGCCTGGTGTTTGGCTCTGATGAGCGCTTGTTGCTGTCACCTGTTTCTACTGCAGCCCTTACTACGGTTTTCCCAGGTCATTAGTTCTGTGATCGGGGCTTGAGTAGACAATCCAGGCTGATGCTTTCGCTGTCGGCACTAAGGGATGCTGGTCATTGAGAGGATGCTAAAGCGGAGGCAAAAACATCATCTTCTCTCTCCCTTCCTACCCTGCAGGTGTGGATGTGCGGGGGCCGCATGGAGGACATCCCCTGCTCTAGGGTGGGCCATATCTACAGGAAGTATGTGCCCTACAAGGTCCCTGCTGGAGTCAGCCTGGCCCGGGTAAGGTGGTGGCTTTCCTGGGGGTGGGGGAGAGAAGTTGGCCTAGGCCCACCACCATCACTGAGGCACCCTGGAGCCCCAGGCCGTGTGATGACTAGGTGTGAGGATACGTCCTCATCCTCCAAGTGAAATCCAACGTAAAGCCCTACTCTACCACTTATTGGCCTGTGTGACCTTGAGAGGGTTGCTTAATGCCTCTGAGCCTGTGTTTCCTCTGCTGTTTAAAGGGAGCTAGCTAATTCTTTCCAACTCTTAGCTTTGCCAGGAGCATTAAGGACATGATACAGTCGCCCAAAGTGTAACAGAGTACATGACCTTAGGTGGCAGACATAGAAATGCTTTTTATTTTCATGTGTTTGTTTAAGTTAAACTGGATCAGAAATGAATATGTAATAGGGTAGCGAACTTAGTAGTCCACTGACATTATTACTTAGAATAAAGCTAAAGTAGATGTAAAGTTAGACTAGGGGTGGTCTAAAGAAACAGGTTAAGGCCAGGCGAGGTGGCTCACACCTATAATCATGACACTCTGGGAGGCCGAGACTGGTAGATTGATTGAGCTGAGGGCTGGAGACCAGCCTGAGCAAGAGCAAGACTCTGTCTCTAAAAATAGCCTGGCGTTGTGGTCGGCACCTATAGTCCTAGCTGCTTGGGAGGCTGAGGCAAGAGAATCACTTAAGCCTGAGAGTTTGAGGTTGCTTTGAGCTATGACTCCATGGCACTCTACCAAAGGTGACAAAGTGAAACTCTGTCTCAAAAAAATAAGTAAATAAATAAATAAATAAATGTGTTAGAGAAACACTAATACAGGTCGGGTGGGGTGTTTGGGGAAACTTCAGGATTTAAAAGTTCCTGCAGGGGACCTACCCCCACCCCACTTTCACTTCCAAACACTCTGTGTATCAGAGGGTTTCACAACATCAAGATAATTTGTATCAATCACTGTTTGAATTAAATTGGCCACTGGCTATAGATGGAAATTTGTTAGCCAGAGGTTTTATGTTTGGGGGGTTTTTGGGGGGGGGGTTGTATTAAAAGTCTTGGAGGGAAAAATAAATAAAGCAAGGTGACCACAAAAGAAAAACAAAGAGGAAGGAGAGTCCCCAAAGCTAAAGAGATTCTCAGGGAGGTCTGGGGGAGTTAGAACGGTTGCGGCACTGCATTGCCTCTGTGACGCCAGCCACCCTCTCGGCCCCACAAGGGGACGCGCCCCACCTCCGTCCACATCGCCACCCTCTGCCCAGGTCGCTTGACCTGTAGAATTTCAGCCCCTAGGACCTGGAAGAGCATTGTCCTGTGACTTAAAGACAAACTAAGGGAGGCTCAAAAAGGTGACTAGTCTCCCAGGCTCCCCTGGTGGGTGCGAGCTGCGCTCTGGGCTGCGTCCCGGCAGCTTTGGGGACCGTTGAAGGAAAGGTGGGCCGGCAGTGCCCTCTAGCGGTAACAAGTTTCTAAAGACACCCTCACCTGCCGTCTGTTTCTGGGACAGCACCCGCCAACTCTAGGACGAGGAGGGGAGGAGCGGAGGTTCAATGCAGAGGAATCCCATGCTTCAGAAGTATTATTGGCGATCCCTGAGAAAAGTGCCAAGCAGGATAACAGCGCACAGGCTCTAAGTAAGCCTAAGACACTGACTCTAACAGCCACAAGGAATGATGGGAGCACCCTAACCCTAGAACAAGACCAACCCTAAAGCATCCCTTTCCCATCCAGAGCTGTCAATTTATAAGGCCCATTTGATAAAGAAACACTACCATCTCCTGTTTGCTGAACCATGGATGAACTCCCTGCATACTACCGTGTTTCCCTGAAAATAAGACCAACCCAAAAAATAAGTCCTAGCAGGATTTCTATGCATTTGTTAAATATAAGCCCTACCCCAATAATAAGATCTAGTGATGGGCTGCATAGCCACGCCATGCATTTTGGCACAGAGAAGAAGACATCCCCTGAAAATAAGCGTTAGTGTGTCTTCTTGAGAAACAATAAATATAAGACAGTGTCTTATTTTCAGGGAAACACGGTAGCTCACTGTAGTAAAACATCTCGCTTATAAAAACTTTCTTGGAGTCAGGCATCTTGCAAAGCATCTTACTTATCTCACTTCATTCCCAGTTGTTTCTAAACCCCATTTTAGGGCTAAGGAAAGTGAAACACAAAGATGTTAAGTAACTAGAGCCCTATTCAAACCCATGAACATCTGACAGGTACCTGGCACATAGCAATTGCTCCTTAAATAGTGACTGCTATTGTTTGTACAGGTGTCAGCATCAATATTAATACATAAGACTGGAAAATATATTTCACCATCTTATCTGAATTCTGTTTAGTCATTTCAGCTTCTTTTTTAGCTGTCTGTACTGAGTCTGTATCCTGTGTTAGATTGAGCAGAGGTAATCTAAGTGGTGCCCCATGCCTTCTTCAAAGCTTCTTGTCCCTGAGTCCTGGGATTGTCAGGTCTGATTATGTATAGGTTGCCAGAATACCTAGAGCAAGCTGCGGCCTTTTATGAGGCCTACCCTCATTTAGTTGCAAATTATATATAAAATGTTTGCTCAAACTAGTGGGCACCTCAGCTACTGGGGAGGATGAGGCAGGAAGATCGCTTGAGCCCAAGGGTTTGAGGTTGCTACGAGCTATGACGCCATGACACTCTACCTGGCTGGACAGAGTGAGACTCTTATCTCAACAATACATAAATAAATTAAATGTTTGCTTAGTGTTTTAAGAATCAAATCCTAAGTCTTCCAGAGCACTGTCTCCTAGATCATCCTTGTCATTGATTTGAGGCAGGTGCTCTAATAACAGACCTAAGTGAGCCACATAAAGAGGGACATTGAAGTTGCGCAGACTCCAGAAGGACAAACAGCCAGATAGCCAGGAGGCAGCAGCAATTCAGGAACGACAAGCTGTCCACTTTTTCTTACCTCAAAAGCAAATAGCCAGTCTTGTTTTGTTTCCACTAAAATTGCTAAAAATCTTTCTTATCTCTGACTCTTAGGGAGGGTGATAGAAACCCATTCAAACTTGGTGAAACAAAAGTGGAGATTTCTTCCCAGGATCCAGGCAAATCTCTGTAATCCAAGTACAAGCAGTGCAGTTAGGTGTCAGACTGGGACTCAGAACTAGGAAGGTGTTGAGAATAGGGGAATAAGGAGCATGAAGCTGAGAGCCCAGGGTCCTTTTCATGACTCTAACAAGGAGGGATACAAGGTAATTAAATGTAGAACCCTTTCCTTTGGTCCAATCAACTGTCTGTAGCTCATTAGGGCAGCGCCCATAGCTCAGTGAGTAGCGTGCTGGCCACATACACCAAGGTTGGTGGGTTTGAACCCAGCCTGGGCCAGCTAAAACAACAATGACAACTGCAAAAAAAAAAAATAGCTGGGCGTTGTGGCAAGTGCCTATAGTCCCAACTACTTGGGAGGCTGAGGCAAGAGAATCTCTCAAGCGCAAGAGTTTGAGGTTGCTGTGAGCTGTGACACCACAGCACTCTACCTAGGGTGACAGCTTGAGACTCTGTCTCAAAAAAAAAAAAAAGAAAAGAAATAGTTCATTAAATCATGTTTGGAAAATACAATAATGTAATGTTAATTAAAATATTAATTAGAATTATGATTAAAATATGATGATGTTTGATCCTTTAAAAATAACACTGGTAAATTTCAGCAGCTTTCCATAGTCAAATTGGCCAGCCTTGCCTTTGATTCCTCACTACCCCTGTGGCTCAAGTAGGTTAGGCAGTGAGCCAGACGACCTCGGGAGGCACACTGGGAAAAGGAGAGGAAATACTGTGTTTCAGAGTGTTCTGATATATAGGCTCTCTTAGACCTTCCACTTCCTCTGGGCACAGTTTTATTTTAAATTAAACACAGCCTTTGCACTGCAGAGGCCTGGTGGGAATAACACTGTTCCTGAACTATTTTCTAACCCACTGTGGACTCTTCAGCACTCAGGAAGAATTAGGTAACAGCAAGGAAATTCAGTAGTTTCCTAGTCCCAAACTCAAAGCCAGCAAAATTGGGGACCTGGTGAATTTGTCTCCAGTGCAGAGAGGACTCCCTCATGTTGGGTCCCTTCCCCCTTACTCAGGAATCAGCAAACTGTTTTTGTATGGCTGCTGAGCTAAGAATAGTTTTTACAATTTTAAATCTTTTGGGGAGAGGGAAATAAGGAAATCAAAAGAAAAGTAACATTTTGTGGCACATGAAAATCAGATTTCAATGTCCGTAAGTTTTACTGGAACACAGCCACACTGTTTATATGGTGTCTATGGCTGCTTTATAGCTACATCAGAGCTGCGGCCATCTGGTCTGCAAAGCCTAAGTATTTACTATCTTCCTTTTTACAGAAAACATTCAAACATTTGTGACCCCACCTCACCTTCTACTCCTAGAGTGGTCCTTCCCACTTAGGTGTGAATGACTGATAACAGCTAAAAGCCTAACTCCCCTTCATCCTCAAAATCAAAGAGGAAAATTCGATATTGCAATAGGGAAATAAAACCTTAAGATAGATGTAATGGCTGGATAGTTAAATTTGGTCTGGGAGGTGAGGGGAGTAGTGCTCCTGGCAACATCCAGGGATTGAAGGAAGATGTTTTAGAGCTGGGAATTTCCTCTGAACTCTGAAGTTGGACACTCTGGTGTCGGCTGTCAGAGTCTCACTATAGTAACTACGCTGCAGATGGAACAAGAAATTTTCAGCACAATTAGATATAAGAATTCACTGTACCCCAAGTTTGCTCACAAACAGGATGTTTCATCACCTGCTGCCTCTCCTTGCCAACAATGTGGGATTTGGGGGGTAGGGAGGTTGTTGGTTTGTTTTGTTTTATTTTTACTGATTATCCTTGTCCTTCATAATAAAAGGAGCAGAAACCTTTATGCCTCAAAGGATTATTAGAAAGTCCAGCTGCTGGGAAATTATACCTTTTGCTTACAAATTATAATTTGTTCTTATCATGCAACTTGGTCAGAACTCTTAGTTGAAAATGATAGCAACCCAAGTCAAATTGACTTGAGCACAGAGGGGATTTACTGGAAAGTACTGAGGTAGCTCTGGCTTCAGATACAGCTGGATTCCAGCGCTAACAGGAGGAATGTGTACTTGGATCTGGCCCTGAGCTCTGCTTCATTCAGGGCTGATTTCATCCTTGGACAGGCTTTCCTCATGTGGTGGCCATATGGCCCGGCAGCTCTGGCTGGCATCCTACCCAGCAATCCAAGCAGAAACAGAGCAATTCTTCCTAGTCAGTCCAGCAAAAACTCCAAAGCCAATGCCTATTGGCTGTGACTGGCCTGGCTTAGGTCACATGCCCGCTGCTGGCCAGTCCCTATGTCTGAGAGTATCTCTGTTCACATTAACCAGGCTGAGTCGTGTACCTTTCCTCCAGCCACATGAACTGACAGGGAGACAGGTGTGGCTCCCCAGGGGAAAATTAGTGGGAGGCTACCACTAGAAAGAGAGGGGGGTGGAAGATGGGCAGACAAAACAACAGCAGACTGTTTTTCAGCTCTATATTGTAAAGTCCTTAAAACGTGCACATATAATAAATAAAAATACAGGTTAAAAACGTGGCAGGGCTGGAATTTTTGAACGTAAAATGAGAAATGTTGGGGTGGCACCTGTGGCTCAGAAGGGTAGGGTGCCGGCCCCATATGCCGGAGGTGGCGGGTTCAAACCCAGCCCCGGCCAAAAAAAAAAAAAAGAGAGAGAGAGAAAGGTTGACCTCAACCTGCCAGAACCCTTTGTACGTCACACCCTGGGAGAGGTCACACCCTGGGAGAGACTGACCTTTTTGTCCGTCTTTTTCCACCCTCTCCCCTCCAGAACCTTAAGCGAGTGGCGGAGGTGTGGATGGATGAATATGCTGAGTACATTTACCAGCGCCGACCCGAGTACCGCCACCTCTCTGCTGGGGACGTCGCAGCCCAGAAAAGGCTCCGCACCTCCCTTAATTGCAAGAGTTTCAAATGGTTTATGACCAAGATTGCCTGGGACCTGCCCAAGTTCTACCCACCCGTGGAACCTCCAGCAGCAGCTTGGGGGGAGGTGAGTCTACAGGGCAGGGCCAGCTCCATAATTGGCCAAGCCCAGCGCTAAAGGCAAGGGTGGACCCCTTGTTTACAAGACCCCTTGTTTCCTAAAAGGTATGAGTATAAACTTTCCTTCCCAGTCTCTCTCTAGCATTGTCTTGGTGGGTTTTTCATTTGCTCTTTAGTGTTTTAGGTATAGAAAAATTAAAAGCGCTAAAATATTAGCATGAATTTTCACTTCTCATCTTTATATTATGTGGTGCTGTTTCCAAATGCAAATTAACAGCATGCAGCTTGTGTTCAGAGTGGATAAAGTGACGTGATCTGTAGTTCGTATTTCATGCATGCGGAGGTATTACTCCCCGGGACAATGAAAACATTGCACAAAACTAAGTCAGCCGTTTTTATTTCACTTCTTGATAATGTGTGTTTTCTACCAACACTCTCTATGTTCCATTTACCAATGAGTAAGGAAGGACTGAGAGGAAAAGGAACTGAGGGTTGCCTTATCTTTCTCTTTCCTACTACAGGCTTGGCTAACACAGGGCAGAAGAGCGAGTGGGAAAGGACGTGATAGGGCTCTTTAGACAGTCCTGTGTCTTAGGGTGCCATTGCCCTTCTTCATGCACCCAAAGAAAGTTTTGGTTTGAAAGGAAAGCATGGCCTCCCAGTCCTGCCAGTGCCATAACACACTTGCCTTGTACATGCCTGGGGTCTCTGTGCTCGTGGGGCATCGCAAATGCTGCCTCTCCTGTCTCACTCTCATTGTTCTATGGGAGTTGACTTACAAAACAACTCCCAAATAAAATGTTTAAGAATCTCAAGGTAGTGACAGTGGAGCTTTAAGCCAAACCAGACCCTCCTGAGTCCCAGGCCTCCTGCAGCTCTCATGTTGTAGCCCATGAAGGCCCTGCCAGAGCAGGCAGAACAGTCTTACCAGGCAGACAAATATACCACCATCAGTCCAGTGTCTAAGCTGAGAAAACCTACCCATTTATAGATGGTGATGGGGAGCATAAGAACTGGGTCTCTATCAAAAGCTCAATTTAAACTGAAAAAGGGGAAATGTGTCAAGTCACATAGGAGCCTGGCATAGCCGTGGCTTCAGATGGCCTGGATCGAAGTCCCCAAGTGTTATCAGTCTCTTTTTCCTTTCCTCTTGGGTTAGCCTCAGTTGAAGTCAGCAAGATGGCTTCTAGATGCTTCAGGCTGACAAACCCTCAGCTTGGCCATCACAACAGAAAGCAGATGCCTCTTCCCAAGCACAGCCAGCAGAGGTGCAAGAATCAAGTCTTATTCTTGCATCCTGCACCCATCTCTGTGGCCTTCAGGGAGGAGGGGAAGCAAGGGTAAGCTGGATGCTCTGGCTGGGCACAGGTGTCCTTGCCTCAGTGAGCAATTGGCTGGGAGCTGCCCTGGCAGACACAGGTTTGGGTTCAGAACACAGCAGTGGGGCTATTAGATTATCTGCAACAGCCACATCCCTCCACTCCTGAGACAGAATAGGAGTGCTGTCTGTAAGGCAGGAGCTGTATGATGTGACACCAAGCACCCTGGTCTGCCCAGAGTAGGTGCCCAGTCAGCGTCTGTTGTCTAAGCAGGTGAGCAGCCTCAGGCTGCAGACTCCCAGCCCAGTGCTCTCCCACCACACGCACTGTCTGCATGGTCGCAGGGGAGGGGACCACTGTTGTTCTTTGGATCTCAGCAGGTTTGGCAGGGACTTCACTTCTTGCCATTCACCTTCCCTAAAAGGATCTGGGAGAGAATGAGGGAGAAAGTGGTCTCTGGCAGTCCGTGAGCCCTCTAAGACCTACAGCAAAGATTCCATGTCCTTTTCTAGGGAGTTCAAAGTGTGGTTCCTGGACCACCCGCACCTGGGTCATTTGGAATGGGGGTAAAATTAAATTCCTAGGCCTTCTAGATAAAATTCTCTGGGCATAGTGCCAGGGAGTTCCCCAGTTAAAGGACTTCCAGTGCCCCACCACTAACCCATGACTCTGCATGCTGTAAACACATTATTTAAAGGATCACGCTCTGTAGACTAAGCATTCCTTGCAATGGCCCAGGGCGAGGTTTCTCAAGACAATTTAGAGCTTAGTCCATCTAATCTCTGCCTTGGTTTATCCCTCCCACCCGAGCAGGAGTCCCGTGTGTACCTCTAGGTGTCTCACTGGTCCATTTCTCCCTCATTCTCTCCCAGATCCGCAATGTGGGCACAGGACTGTGTGCAGACACGAAGCACGGGGCCCTGGGCTCCCCTCTGAGGCTGGAGAGCTGCGTCCGGGGTCGCGGGGAGGCTGCCTGGAACAACATGCAGGTAAGAGCCAGCCCTCGGGGACCAGCAGCCGGTTCTCCAGGCCGTCTGCAGCCTGGAGCCCTGCTGTGGTCAGGGCTGGGTGGGAGAGAAGTGGCTCAGCAATGAGAGACCAGAGCCAGCCCAGGAGAGGAGTGGTAAGACGCTTCTGAACACCTTACCATCAGTCTGGACTGTTTGGGTTACAAATGACGGACACTACCACAAATGGCCTTCAACAGAAAACGTACTATTAGTTCATGTCATTAAAAAGTCATTGTGTCCAGAGTCTGCTTCCCTCTCTGCAGACTTCCTTTTCATGTGACTCTGCCATGTGGTGGCAGATGTGACCATCTGTGGCAAAGCCCGAGGGCTCTCACGCACACACTTCCTGAGCTGATTACATAGGAGGGAGGCAGTCATCATATTGATGGACCCGGGTCATGTGCCTGCTCCGGGAGCCTGGAGGCAATGGCAGTAGAATGCAGAGGGCAAGCCAGCCTTGCAACAGGTTTCAGCTTTCTGGAATGTTTCCCTCTGAGCCATAATTCAGCTGTTAAATAACCACAAGTCCACAGATTCTTAATCTGGTCTTAATACTGGTCTCCTTACTGTGGACCTTCTGGCATTTTGGAAGTTTGCACTGACATAAGCCTGTTAATAAGGAGCCTCTGCATGAACAGCACACGTGCTGCAAATAGCCAGCACCACCCTCAGACCATGTCCGCTCCTCCCTCTGAAATGCTGAGTGACGCCTCAGTGCATAGTGGCTCTTCTGACCGACCCTTCTGAGCTCTGCATGGTGGTGTGTGGCCGCTCCCTCCACCCCATACCAGCCTAGGAGTCTAAAAGAGACTAGGAAAAGCTTAAGACCTGGATAAAATGTGTGGCAGAGAGTGACACCTAGACAGTCACTCTAATAAACATCATGACAGTGCCTGGGCATGTGGCTGTGCCAGCCTACACCTTCTGGGGTGGGAAGCTTGGCCAGTTACCCCAGCAGGATCTATGGCCTCTGGGGCCCCCAAGCACCCTGAGCAGAGAGCTCAAGTGAGCCTTTAAAGCTGTGTATTTCAACGTTCTTTATCTCACAGCACAGTTGAACCTGTAGTTAAACTTCTGCAGCACACTTAAATTACATTGATCAAAAAAAAAATTTTTTTAATAGAGAATATGCGTACCATCCTTTGAATTTCTTTCAAAAATAGTTTAATAACTTTAAAAAATTTTGCAGCAAAGTTGAAATCACTACTTTAAAGGGAAAACTATGAGTCTAAAAGACAGTTTCCGTGCTAGAGAAGCCTGAGAAGTAAACATTGAGGAGTCAGTGGCTGGTAATCCCCTCTCCACCAACGCTGCAATGGCTGCTTCTGGCCAAGGGGTTGTAACAGGGACTGAATTTAGCCTCCTGCCAGAAGCAGCCAAAAGATGGATAAAATGTATGAAACAATGGTTTCCAAGAGGGTAGATATCAAGCAATGAAGGACAGTAATCCTTAAGAGATGGGAAATCAATAAGGTGAGCCCTACGATTGTCCCAGCTTCCTTCTTTGGGAGAGTTCCCAGTCCATGGGTAGGGAGAACTCAGACACCCGAGTTGAGTGGACAGAGCTGAAAGTGCAGACCAAGGTGGCTAGAATTCACCAAACAACACGGAAGAGGAGAGAGCCAAATAGAGAGAGGACTTCCCAGGTTTACAGTGGGTCTCCCTTCAATACTGAGCAAAGTACTGATCAGTGGGTGCACGTGAGGAAGCTTCCTGGGGCTGGAGAAGGAACCATCCAAGAGGCCTGGCACGAGTAGTGTCTGGTATTCGTGTAAGGCCTGGAATAGTGCCTGTCCTCACTAACCAAAGAGGAAAACACTATGATTATTTTATTTTATTT